ATATATATATATATATATATATATATATATATATATCTTTGTCTAAACTGTTCTTTTAAAAGTAGTTTTCTGATTTGTTTAATAAATTCTATTTACTTTCTAAAGAATTACTTATTTTAAAAGTATATTTCTTAGAAATATTTTTTTTTTTAATTCTAAATAAACTACCCCATAGTGAACGTAACTCAAATCCTAACAAGTATTCCCTTAAACAAGAGAGTCATAAACATGTTGCTAGAAAGTTAGATATATAGCAACCCTAAATATAACAACCAAAATTTAAACTCAGAAACTTCTACATTTGGAAAAAGAATTACTTATGTAATAATGTATAATTTTATTAGTATTGTTGATTTTATTAGTTTAAATGTGATTGTGATTAGTTGAATAGTTGTGAAATTCTAAGAATTTAGAAATTTTAACGAGTTTTTGTTGCTTAGGAGGTTATTTTAAGTAAAAGTCAATTTCAATAGTCTTAAGAATGTATATAAGATTTTTTTAAGACTTGAGTTTCAAAAGTTTAATTCTTAAGAAAATTTATAGGGAAGTTAGAGAGAGGAGTTCTAGAGCCTAAAAGATTTCCTTCCTCTTCTAATTTCACTAGAGTTTTCTAGGATCCTTCCTTGAAGATAGTTGAGTTGTTGTGTAGAGATTCAAGCTTAGAGAGCTTTGAATCAAAGTCTTCAAAGTGTTTTGTAGAGTTCCTAGAAAAATCTCATTCTTCTCATTCTATCACTGGTTCTAGGAGATTCGAAGGTAAAGGGGAGCTTGTAGAACTGATCTTGATTGTGTTTTTTGAGTTGATCCTTACTAGGTTTTATCAATTGTTGTGATTCTATTCTGAATTGAAAAATAAAATGCTTATGTTGAGTTTTTAGTTGTTCTTGGGTTTTATCAATTGTTGTGATTCTATTCTGAATTGAAAAATAAAATGCTTATGTTGAGTTTTTAGTTGTTCTTGAAGGGGGAATTCATGATTTTGAATTTTAATGGTTGCATGCTATTATTTTAGACAAATATGAGGTGCTTATGATGTGTAGTTGTGATATCTTGTATTGCATGTTGGAATTTTGTTGAGTTTCAAGTCAATTGTGCCAAAACGTGAATCGACCAAGTGTAGAATTCATCATTGCATTAGGTGCAACTTCAAAACGTTAGATATGATGCATGCCAAAAGCTCTTTGCCTCACTAACATTGGACGTGAGATTGATAGTGCCAAATGTGAGTCAAAGGAGATCTCTTTGACTTAGTCACATCGTACGTGGGTTGAGGAGCGCTAAGCGTGGATATCTTTAGTGCTCTCTAACTTGGTGATGTCAAACCCTAGTTGAGTGGTGTCAAGCTTGATCAAAACAAAAGTTCTTTGCCTAGACGATGTTGAACGCCAGTGTTGTAACATTGGGTATGAGTTAGGCAGAGACTCTCTACTTGAATGAGGTTGGATGTAAGTTTGACCATGCTAAGCATGATTAACACAAGGGTTCTTTGCCTCATTTATTCTGGCATGGGCGAGCTAAAAGCTCTCTTCCTCAATGATGCTGAGCATTGGGAGAGTGGTGATAGACGTAAGTTGCTGAATGAAGAATGATTGATTATTTGACTAAGCGTTGAACATATATCTATTAAGTTAAATTTCTCTCATGTTGTATATTGTTGTATGATTCTAGTTCGTAAAATCTTGATCTAGTATGATGGTTGTTGATATTTATGTTGATCATAGTTGCAAGCGTTGGGCGTTGAACAATAGTAATAATGCATGTTGCGTAGTGTTGTAGTAGTGGTGTTGAGCTACATTGATTATAAAACAACCAACTATAGAATTCTTGTGATGTCTCCTTTTTGTCACAAGCATATGTATTTTTAAAATTATTACAAACCCAGATTATTAACATTAACCTATATAAATTAAGATCTGTTTTTAAATATCATGAAAATTTTGTATTTCTTAAAAATGAAATAAAGAATTCTTTTTTTGGAGTACAAGGTATATTTCATTCTAAATTAAAACAAAAGAACCCTCCAAATTCGGTAATTAATCAATGGACAAATTTGTTCTACAAAAAATAGATTTTCATTTTTTGATCCCATTTTTAAAGAACTAAAAAAAATGAAACAATTTCAATTTTCAATTTTTCTAGTTCTAAAAATTTTAAGGGAAAAATTGAAAATGTTTCATATGTATGACGGTCGAATCAAGCCATATGTGTATAAAGTGACCAAACTGATCAGTAAGGTGCAAGGTCTAGGGCCAAATCCCTAACTAAGTACTAGAAGGGGCACAATATTTAAAGGGTAGTTGGTGGGTTAATTTCATAATAGGCTTAGTTATGCATACTAAGATCACGGTAGACTCACACTCAAGTTATCCAAACCTTGACAGAAATACTGAGCTTACCTAGTTCAAGTAAAAAAATCTAAGAAACCATGTTGTGTTATGGATTTTTTATCCAAATTTATTGTTGATCTAACAAGTCTAAAAAGATCACATTGTTAAGTTGGTTTGGTAGGCCAAACCACTTAGACTACTCACTTGTATTGTAAGAAATCTCTTAATTAAAATGTGTGGCGATGCATTATGTTGTTATATATGTTGATGAGTTGTGAAGTTGATATGTGAAAATGTTGTCTAAGTTGTTATGTTGTGAACTATATTGTTGATCAATTA